TGATGAGTTGAGAACACGCCTGCAAGCCTGTCCAATCCTCGCCCACTTCAATGATACTGCCGAAACTGAAGTTCACACTGGTGCGAGTAACGTCGGCCTCGGAGCCATTCTAGTCCAGCGGCAAAACGGCCAAGAAAAAGTGCTAGCGTATGCCAGCCGCAAGCTTTCGAAAGCCGAGACAAATTACTCTGCAACCGAAAAAGAGTGTCTCGCGGTCGTTTGGGCCATAAGTAAATTTCGGCCGTACCTCTACGGTAGACCATTCCGAGCAGTCAGTGACCACCATTGCCTGTGTTGGCTGGCGAACCTTAAGGATCCCTCTGGCCGACTAGCAAGATGGAGCTTTAGGCTACAAGAGTACGATGTTACTGTGGTATACAAATCTGGGAAAAAGCACAGCGATGCCGACTGCCTGTCACGCGCACCAGTGGAGACGAGTGAGCCGGAGGAAGAAGACTTCCCGTTTCTAGGCGTCGTCCAGGCATCATAAATCGCTCAACCACAACAAAATGACCCCGATTTGCTGCCGCTTATACAGCGTCTCCAAGGATTCAATGTTAAAGTCCCGCGCACTTTATCCAGAGGGCTCCCTTCGTTCCGTCTTCGGGAAGGGGTCCTTTACAAGAGGAACTTCAAGCCTCATGGTGACAAGTTTTTACTCGTTGTACCTGCACCTTTATGAAACGAGATTCTGCACGCATGTCATGATGAGCCAACATCTGGACACATGGGTGTCAGCCGTATATTCGCCAGAATTCACCTAAAATTCACCATGCGCACAGGGACATACATGCGCGCCGTCTAGTGTTGCGCAAAGACGATGGTGATAGCACGAGAACCCAGCTGGCCCCTGCTGATGTGCGCCATGCGCTGGGGACTCTTCTTGAAGAAGTAGAAGAAGAAGACATCTTGGTGTTCTGCTGTAACGTGCTACGACCATAGTCCTTTTGAGTTGTGGGCACAGGTTCGCCCTTTAATAAATACGTTTTATTATACCCCGAGTCCTTCAACATCGTTACAATATAAAGGAAAGGGGGACAAAGCTGACATAAACAACTACCGTCCTTTAACAGTGACATCAGTGGTCTACAGGCTGGCGATGCAGATTTTAAAGGAAAGACTGCAGGGATGGATAGAAGATGAGGGGTTGCTGGGGGAACAGCAGAATGGGTTTCGGAAACACAGGAGGTTGGAAGACAATCTGTTCTCACTGACGCAGTGCATCGAAATAGCAGAAAAGGAACTCGGGTCCCTGTGGCTAGCTAGCATTTTTAGGATATCAAGGGAGCATACGATAACGTGGTTCAAAAGGACTTGTGAGGAATACTGGGCACACTACGTGTGAAAAACGGAGTCACTAATCTTTTAAAGGAGATCTATAAAAGTAACTAGGTAGTTATAAAGTGGGAAAAACAGGTATCCAAGCCCACAGAGGTAAAACGGGGGCTTAGGCAGGGGTGCCCTCTGTCACCCTTATTATTCATGATGTACCTACAAGGATTAGAGGCCAAATTAGAGGGAAGTGGACTTGTCCTCAACTTCTCTTTTGTCAAACAAGGAAAACTCCTTAATCAGGCACTACCAGCATTTATGTACGCAGATGATATAGTGCTAATGGCCGACAACAAGGAATATTTGCAGAGATTGATGGACATCTGCGGTAATGAGGGAGTTAGGTTAGATTTCAGATTCAGTAAGGAAAAATCAGCAGTCATGATTTTTAGTGATAATGAAGGTTGTGAGCTCAGGATACAGGAAGTGACACTAGAGATTGATAACAGATAAATACAAATATCTGGGCATATGGATAAGCAATGGGACCAAGTACCTAAGGGAACACGAAATATACGTGACGACTAAAGGTAACAGTAATGCAGCAGGGATGAAAAATAGGCACTGTGGAACTACAATAGGTATGATGATGTGGGAGGAATATGGAAAGGGGTCATGGTTCCTGGGCTGACGTTCGGCAATGCGGTCTTGTGCATGAGATCAGAAGTTTAAGCAAGATTAGAAATTAAGCAACGTGGAATAGGTAGGCTTGTTTTAGGAGCTCACGGGACTACACCAAATCAGGGAGTACAAGGTGATATGGGATGGACATCATTTGAGGGCAGGGAAGCTAGCAGCTAGATAAAATTTGAGAAGCGATTGAGAGAAATGGGGGAGAAGCGTTGGGCTAGGAAGGTTTTGTACATAAAGAATGTACACTCACGTACTTGTACATAAAGAATGTCGATACAAAATGGAGGAAGCGAACCAGGAATGAAGCTTGGAAACTTGGGCAAGTTGGTAGGACATAACTGATTGCAGGAACAGCGCAACCTAGAAGTAGTTACTTCGTAACTACGAAATCGATAAAAAACCAAGACAAAAAAGGGCGCTGTAATTAGTTACGAACCAGGAAATCGACTGGTAAATACTTAGAAAACAGCAGGGGGCCAAACGAAAAAGAACTATCGTTTAAGAAGAAAGTGAAGGAAAGGGAGAATAACACATGGAGAATGGCATGATTAAGAAGTCCGCACTAGAGATCTATCGAACTTTTAAGCAGGAAATTACCAATGAAAGGATCTATGATAATACTCGGGGTAGTTCTCTACCGTTTGAGGCCAGGACGGTAGTATTGCGAACCAAGACATATCAGGCCAAATACGAAGGGGTAGACATGATATGCAGTGCATGTAGAGAGGAGGAGGAAACTGGCGAACACTTGATAATGTTCTGTAAAGGGCTTCATCCTATAGTTCAGGATGATGGCGCAGAGTTTTTCAAAGCACTGGGGTTTATGGACAGGGAGGGAAAAATAGACTTTAAGCGGATAGAATTAACTGGAAGAAGGTTATCTGATTGGTGGCTAAAGTCAAGGCCTGAGTGAAAATTAAACCCTTCACTGCAAAGTACCAGTCCTCAACTTCAGTATTTAAAGGGGAAAAAAAGATAAATCTAGTGATTAGTTCACTAAGTATTACGGCTAGGTGGCATCAGCCGCCCCCCGATCTATAGGGTACAGCCACATCCACCCACCCACCACACCCACCCACCCACCCATCCATCCCATCCCACCCATCCATCCATCCATCCCATCCATCCATCCATCCATCCACCCACCCACCCATCCATCCCATCCACCCACCCACCCATCCATCCATCCCATCCCATACATCCATCCATCCACCCACCCACCCATCCATCCATCCATACATCCTATCCCATCCACCCATCCATCCCATCCATCCATCCACCCATCCATCCATCCATCCATCCATCCATCCATCCACCCACCCATCCATCCATCCCATCCCATCCATCCATCCATCCATCCCATCCATCCATCCATCCATCCATTGGCTTGAACGAGCAGATGACATTAACATTATTGCGGCAGTTTTCGGGGGTGCGATAATTATTCAAGGAAAAAAAATCGTAGTTTTCTTGGGTTATGTGGGGGGTGGGAGAATTATGCGAGTGCGAGGATTATGCGAGTAAATACGGTAGTCTAAAATCCCCTTTAGAGAGCACGAAGTGGCTATAAAGAACTAAAAAGAGCTCATTGTCTAGAGTCCCGTGGGAATTGTTTCCTGGCTATTTGCCACTGCATTTCGCTTGAGAGTTTTACCAAAGCCACATGCTCAAAATAATTGTGAGCTCTCATAATGGAATAAATAGTTTAAAATGCACATTTTTGCTACACAGATGAGCTTCCGTTTCTATGCTGAAGATGCGTTTTTCTCGAAATGGGGCAGTTTTTGGCAACTTCATAAGTTTGGACGTCATGTTTTGATGGCTAGACTGAGAATAAATTTTGGCCACGTATTTTTTAACATGGGCAAAGTGCAATTATCTCTTTGAAAGCATGATGTCATTTACATAATAATTATTAGCCTAATGTAAGCGATTCGTATGGGTTGAGCATTTTGCACTTCTCGCATTACGACTTTCCTTGTTCATTCAACTGTAGGATACACACTTTCGTGATAGTTAATTGCATTCTATAGTAATATAAAGAAATATGAGCTCTTAATTACTAATAACTTTAAGGTTTTCGTGGGATAAAAGTCTGCCCAGAAATAGCTGTTTTTTACACATTGTCATGGTACAAAACGGGAACTGTGCAATTTACTATGAAACTAATTGCATATTTGAAAATAGTATAAAAGCTTACGTAAGCTCTAAAAAATTTTATTGTTTAAGCTACCGACTAAATAAACTTTTTTTTAATTGAATGTCCCCTTAAGACAATTCTGATTGGAATCACCTTTGGATATCTACGGATCTGCAGCATTTTTTACTGATCAGTGGCAAGTGAAATGTTGAAATCTCCCTACATCACAGTCCTACTGCCCTATGTTGGCCGAAAAATGCTTAAGATGCTTTACAAGTAGGGTACTTACCTTTCAGTTGACAACCCTGCACTGTATGAATAGTTTGCTATTGTATATGACGCACACAAAACAAGTGTAAATTCTTTCTTTGTTTGACTGAATAATAATGAGGAGCCACAAGCCCAGGGATGCAACTTGTAGTGATATTAATGGGAAGAAAATAATGTTGCCAAAAAGATAGCCTGGCAGGGGCCGTACATTGTTTGACTTACGCGTTTGATGCGTATTTGAACTCAAGCTTGCATATACATGTCTACTGTGTTATCTTTCGCACTGGACCATTTTTTGAACAGATCAGGTATTTATTATCCTTTATTTTGAAGTATATTTGGGCCAAGTTTCAGATATCTCAAAATTATAACTGAGAGTAGAACAGAAACTTGGCTGCCAAACTAAAACTGCTTGACAAGTTTCGTGCCACACTGCCGCATCAACAATTGCCAATTTCAATGTCTGAAACTTCACTTGTCTTGAAAATTCTCCTGTAAAAAAATTTTTTGGTGTATACCACTTGCTCGTGGTGTTACCAATGCTTCCTTCCGACAGCAGATCCTCTGTTTATGAGATGAAAGCTCAGAAAAGTCTTTCATGACGTGCGCTGTTAACGTGTTACAGGCGGAAATGGACGTCCTCAAGCGCACCCATGATGAGCTGACTCAGGGAAAGACCAAACTGGATGACATGATCAACCGCATGGACAGGGAACAGGTGGGTGCTGGATGCCGCTCTGCATCATTGCTTTCCAAATCGACAGAATATGGCTACTGTGGGAAGAACATAGTTCTCGTCATATGCTCAGCCAGTGTTTGCTGTTGGGCAGATTTGGGAAGGAGCCAAAATTCATGCCAGAAGTAGCTATATTATATATTTTAGTGCCATATTCGCAGCTGAATATAAGAAACATCGTGTGAATCAAGTTTCTATGATTAAACAGGAAATGTAATCCTGGAAGTAAAAATAACACACAAAACACCCCACATGAATAGGCACGACACACATGAGCGCTTTTTTTGGGCATCTTGTGTGTCTGCACCACAGAGAAAGAATGGACAATAGGGGAAACTGTGCTCCTTTCCACGCCGCGATTGTGTCACCTCGGGGAGCGGCGGCGAACGTCGTGACAGTGCCACTTACAGAACAGCGGCCGAACTGCTGCGCCGGAGCAGCAGACTTAAGATATTTGGAGCTTGCCCAAATATCTGCTTGCACGTTTGTGTTCGCTGCTCAGTGCATAGCTGTGATACACTCGATAAAGAGACGGCAAAGCGTTAATAGGTGCTTCTGCTAAGCTAGCCAGAGCGCTTTGGGAGAGAGACCGTACTACGAAGCAGTCCACAAGCGCTGAATAAGTTCGCTTTCACATGCAAGGGTAGATAGTACATTATTCGTGGGAACCTGGTGCACAATATGAGCTAACCAAGAAAAAAAAAAACATGCCACGGAGCCTTCCACATTAAAAATAATGAAAAAAAATTAGAAAAAAAAATCTGGAATAAGCGTTCTCCTCATATGTTTGTCCTTTTCCGAAGTTTGTTTTATATTAGAACTTTTTGAGAGTCATTCGTTCATTTCTAGATACAACACCCAAACACGTAAAACTGAGTACCACACTTTTTTTACAATGTAGCTTACCTAGAACTTTTGAGATTGGTAAAAGGTTAGCCAAGGACTTTTTACTCATGATGAGTATTCTCTACCTTCGATGGCTTGGCGCTTCTTTTATCGGTAATTTCAGTGATTTCCGGCCAATTCTCAGCTTCGTTTCTAGGCACAAGGTAAATAAAACCTTTGTTCGAAAAAAAAATGATAATAAAAAATTGTGAGCTGGGGTGTTATAACATATACAATTGGCCACTATCACGCAAAAAGTTCCCTCATTTTATTCTCTCTCTCTTCGATCAAAAACATAAGGTGTCGCAACAGAAAGCCACAAAAACCTTGGCTGGTCAGGAATGTCTAGAAATTAAAACTTGGCGTGGTGTCGCACCTGCTGACCATTCGCTGCGAAAATAATTTTTCTAGACGTAGTCGCTTTTTTTTTTCATTGTCGATCTCATCTTTATATACCCTCGCCCATTCTTGCTGCCGTTCTTCATTAGACGGAGTGTTGAAAGTTTGAACATTTTTTTTTATGTAGTATCGATTGATAGCTCGAAGCCAGCAGCAATCTCAGCGTTTCTACCACTTCAATTCTTTCATTGTCCAAAGATCATCTCATCCATCATATATAAATAAAATGCTGGCACTAAGACGCTCTAGTTGCTTCATTTTGTTGTGGCAAACCGCGCCAGTGAAAAACTTTTATAGCTGCATCCAGTAGCATAGTGGAATTGGTGAGTGGCAGACATAGCAGACGACACTTGGGTTATACACAGCTGCCGTTAGAGACCGTGGAGACCATGGGCGCGCGTGCTCTCCTCCCGCAGCAGAAAAAAAATAGTTCTGCGTGTCGCTGAAAGGATCGCTGCGCGTACGTTTGCCAACCTCCTCTCCCAGGATGACATTATCGCGGTGCGCACTGGCGCTGGCCTGTAGTTTCTCTTCCTGTTTTCTTGCTCTGTGGTCTGCACTGTTATACAGTCGAGCCCACATATAATGGCCCGACTTAAAACAAACTTTTGCTTAAAACGAACAATATCCGTGTGACCGTGAAAATACACACTGTTCAATGCACAAAATCGCACTTCCAACGAACGTCTTCGAGCGCCGCTGATCGGTTACAGCGAATGAAGTCGGTTCTCTGCAGACTTCCCGGGAAACCACTTTCGACCATCGATCAGGCATTGGCGAGTTGCCCATACATTCTTATTGTTAAACGTCTATCCTGCTTCGTACGGCTGCTCCAGGGAGAAACGCTCTTATCGCACGACCTCTTTCCATTGAGAGCGCATCACGTAGAATGGTTTCCAAGCCACGCGCTTATGCTTGCCAACAACACGCCCTTAGACAACCACGCCCTTAGAATCAAAGTTTGCCACTGCTGCTCAAGTGACCCCCCCCCCCCCCCTCTTCCCTGTGTATTTTTTCATGCTCGTTAAAAGCGTGTGTCATGTTTCATCTCTGCTTCAGCATTCGACTGTAGGTCTAACATTCGGGGGCATAGTATTGCGTGCTCTCTTTGAGCGGCCGTGATCGGTCGCCCTATTTGATCTCTGCTTGAGCAGCGCGATTTACGCGCAGGTAGAACGTATGATGTGGGGGAAATGTTACCAACTTGTAGTTTACACGGGAGATGGCGACAACCGCGAAAACCCGTCGAGTGTCCATGTAGTTTCTATCCTAATAAAAACAATCACTTAATTGCCTAGCAGTGGCACGACGAGCCCTTCTAAATTTTTTCTTAACTTAGTTGCGCGAAAGAATTTGGAGTACAAAAGAAAGACACCATTTGTACTTCAAATTTTTTTGCGCAACTCAGTTAAGATGAATCACCAACTCGCCTAGTATTTTGTATTTTGCGGGAATTCGTAATTAGCAGAAAAACACTAATACCTCACAGATATAAAGTTGAAAACTATCTAATCGGACGTTTTGCTAACTGATCTACAACTTTCTCATTGAAATTTTTATCTATCTTCATTTTTTGACGAGTCAGTTAATTAAACATATCTAATTAAACAATATTTAAAAACAGAAAAAATAGTCTGACTAACTCCAGGCAACGGCGAGCAACATGCATTTGGACGCCTCATAATCGCGTGTGCCGGCATATTTTTAAACTCGGGCTAAGGTTACCTGGGGCACCCTATATATACCGATTTGGGGTAAGTCTCATCACTTGATCAGCATTGAATGCTTCGTAAAAACCACTGATATTTTTTTTATGAGAAAGCAAAGAGAAAACAAAAATTCTAATTAACAGTCTATGTTGGTAGGAAGCGCAGCAACTATTACACAGAACACACAACACAAGCGCTTGTGTTGTGTGTTCTGTGTAATAGTTGCTCGCTTCCTATCAAGATGGATTCGTAACAACTGACCCGATACAATTGTTTAATAATTAACAGTGATGTGTGACCCAACAAATCTGCTTCAAAACTAAATTTTAATGCTCCAAGACTTGCCTTTTGGTGCTCGAAAACGCCCCTTTTACGGCTCCAAAGCTGCTTCAAAATTGTGCTATTTCTTCTCCCAAAGCTGGTCCAAACGACTGAAGCCCGCTTGTACCCCTGCAAGTGTCTTTTTGGTGATTCACAACTACACAAGGAAGTGAAGTGTACTTTAGATGGTATGGCAGTGGCAGCCCAACATATATTTGCTATTTTTGCTTCCTGTCTCATTGTCCGACCACGTGGTCTGTGTGGAAGTAGCACCAAGGGCACACGTCATCACAGATTACTAGAGAATGACTCACCTACACTTGTGCAAGAGTGCCTGGAAGTAAACAACATGACAGAAGAAGCCATTGCACAGCATGTGCTGGCGCATACCCCTAGCGGATGTGGCCGCAAACTGCCCAACGGTGAAAGTAGCGAGGTGTTTTTGTTGATTTATGACTTGTTTTATTATGTAGCAATGGTTTGAAAATAGTATTAGTGCCGCTTTAGGCAACAGCGTATTTCTGTGCAAGCCATTGGTACTGAGGCTACACAATTCGCCACAGCGAAGTGAGGTTAGGGAAGGCATTGGCCAACAAGTGCACTTTGCCACCAAGTGACACTAAACTTGCTCGTGTGACAGCACACAAGTGACACTCGCTGCAAAGTGTAATCACTCAAAGTGCACTTAAGTTGTCACTTGTGACAGGAGTATTACTTTTACTTCAACAATATGTGCAGTCGAACCCGGGCATATCAAACTCGCCAAAAAGCATTTATTAGTTCGATATATGGCATAATTTGATGTAGGCCCACTATAGAATTTGATGATGCAAAAGCACATCCAATAAACAAAGTACTTTATTAATGTTTGGTTTACTTGTGTTTCCTACTTTGGTAAAAAGTAGTCCTGGATTTTTTTTTGTTTCATTGACTTGGCTGCCTGAGACAGCACGCACGCCTCCACGTTGTCAAACGATTCGGAGCAGCTGAGGCTGCGAACTTCCATATTCACGCAATAGGGCCGGACCAACGCCAGTGCACTAACCACATCGGAGGCAATAGGCCATCGTCGATTTCCTCATTGCAGTCACGTTGGCTTGTGGCCAGCACGACGCTGCAAGGTAGTGCTCATTTTGTAGCTGGCCCATGATGGCAACATCATTGTCCACACTGACAAACTCGTTAAATGTCGATCCCCCGATAGCACTCGGGAACTCTGCCTGCTCACTCCAAACTTCGGCGGAAACACCTGTGGTTTCTTCAGTGTTGTCATTGAAATTCGGGGTGTCATCACCTGGCATGCAGAAGCCGGCATGCCTAAAGCAGTTCTGGATTGTCTCCTTCATGACATCTGAATAGCAAGAACTTCGAGCAAGACGATCTTCAGCTCCCTGCTGACACGAAGGTTCGGCAACAGCCTCTCCACAATAGGCACTTTTGATAGCCAGCTTTTATTGAGCTTATAATGCCTTGATCCAGTGGTTGCAGGACAGACGTAGTTTTGGGGGCAAAAACCGCAGCTCGATGTGGCTGCCGGTCGTACTGCAGTGGTGAGATGACCAATTGTCCACGAGCAGGCACACCTTACAATTTTTGCCTTACCAAATCATCCTTTGACGGCAATAGGCACCTGCTGAAGAGCTCCAGGCACCTGCTGAAGAGCTCCAC